TTTATTTATTTTGTCTGTGAGTTTTGCATCTTGAATTTTGCAATATACTTTTGTTTTCTGAATATTCTTTGAATATTCAAAGAATACTTGTCATATATTTCAAGAATTGGCCCATCTAGGCCCAGATTAAGTCTTTCCCACATACCGTAAACAGCCACAGAATAATGAAGCTCTGATGACCTACTCACTGCTGATTTGTTGTAGAAAGAATCAAACATCAAATATTGAGTGCTAATTGATTTTTGAAAAACCAGATTGAATGGTTTGTTAAGTATTGCAATTTACAGAACAGATGAATCAAGAGTAAGTAAAACAAAATAAAACAAAAAAAGAAAACTAGCAAACAAACCAAAAGAAAAACAATAGAACACCAAAATAGTTTCTTATCGAGTATGTACAATGTGAAATCAAAATACAGTGATTTTCCACGGCTTCACGGAGGTGATTATGATATAGTCAGTATGACTTCCCTATCTTTTGAAAGCAAACCAATTTCATGAGCTCTACATTCTGCCTTTCAGCTTCAATCCGATAAGCTCTAGAATTTGAAAGCTAAAAGGGAAGTTCATTAAAACTGAGACATCAAAGAATGTATGGTGATAACTGCAGACAGAGATAACATGGACTTAGGGAAACATAATGCTTAGAATATTGACCATAACATGTCATTTAGAGTGGAGGAGGTAGGTTTTATCCTGGTATTGGGAACATCATACAAGTCTCTTGTGCTTAACATTTATGTTATACTGTCAAAAAAATGATGTAAGTTTCAAAGTAGCAATATTGATTCTTAAATTAAACCTGTGCTTTGTCTATTCAGAATTCCCAACAGGTTAACTAAATGTCAGCCACTGTGTCTGCTTATGTTCACCTTCTCTTCACTTCTCCCCCACTCCATTCACCCACATGGACAAGGAGAATAAGACTTTGTTAGCTCCAAGGTATTCTGGTCAGAGCTTACACAATGCTGAGCAGCCAATTGGCAAGCACCACTGCTGTCACATGGGGGGATATAGGAATGTGTCACATGCTCCACCATACCCAGAAGTACTGGGTATGCCGCTTTGCATCCCCAGACAAATGGAGCAGAGGAGCTAAGCAACATTTGTACAGACATTGATATGATTACAAATTATCTAGTTTTGGGTGTTTGTGCTGTAGATGTTCAAACTTTAATATTTTTTGAAGTTTAAATTTCTACATCTGAATTTCCAGTACCATCAACTTGTTCTTACCTACTTGCAACAGTGCATAGAATGTGGGAATCAGCCTGAGATACTCTTAGTTATCTTCTTAAGCACCCTTGCAAGAAACTTCAGCAAGTGCAACTTGGTAATGGAGGCCTTGAAAAACACAAGTATCAAGTGGTAGGTCAGCATGCCACTGAAACTGATATAAGTGGACTAGTTATTTGAAAATAAAACAGGCAACTGCAAACATAATCAATTTAATACAAGGAGATCTCTGGTCAGATAGTTTGTTATGAGCGATAAAACCATTACTAAGTGAACTGAATAGCTGCGGGTACTGCATTCATCCATCTATGGGTAGCAACACAATTCACTTGTAAGGGCTCTTTCACTCAGACGTTACATTTTAAAGGAGCCTTAAAGTGCGCTTATAGTATTAATGAGCATTTTGAATGTGTTGTACAGGTGTTCATATTGCGTCAGGCAACACTCCTCAAATGCTCTCTAAGTTGTTGTTTTTTTCAAATGCTAAAATTATCACTTTTGACGCTTTGCAGCAGTACCATAAATGCACTGTAAACGCCACAGGCAAGCCATGCTGCTGTGGTACGTTTTATTAGAAGTCAATGGAGGCAGTTGCAAAGCATCAATGTTTGCCAAACTCTGCAGGCAGCATCATTTTTGCCTCACTGCAATGTGATGCAATGCTAATGCTGCAGTGTGGCCACATCCATCCACTCCCTTTAGTAACATTTTTGGATAGTATTGATACGCAGTCAGGAAGCAGTAAAAATGCAACCAAAGGGCTTATTTTCAAGGCCTGTGTGAGAGTATTATATAGCGAGGGAAATAGGTATTTGATCCCCTGCTGATTTTGAATGTTTGCCCACTCACTAAGAAATGATCAGTCTAAAAATTTAATGGTAGGTGTATTGTAACACTGAGAGACAGAATAGCAACAAAACATTCAAAAGAAGCGCAGCAAATTATAAACTGATTTGCATGTTCATGAGGTAAATAAGTAATTGATCCCCTATCATTCAGCAGGATTTCTGGCTACCTGGTGTCTTTCATACAGGTAACAAGCTGAGATTAAAAGCAGCCTCTTAAAGGGAGTGCTGCTAATCTCATTTTGTTACCTGTAAAAAAGACACCTGTCCACAGGAGCAATCAAACAATCAGATTCCAAACTCTCCACCATGGCAATACACCTACCATTCGATTTTTAGACTGATCATTTCTTTGTGAGTGGGCAAACATTCAAAATCAGCAGGGGATCAAATACTTATTTCCTTCACTGTAGATGTTTTTTTTTAACGCTTCTAAAGAATTACAGTATTTGTACACTTTCTTGTTATGTGATGGTATCAAAATATAGCTGCAACAAAACATTTTTTTGGATTAAGTATAGAAGGGTTACAAGAACATCTGTCAGATTTTTATTGTTGGCTATGTTCCCAATGAAACGATATCCCCCAGAGGCACACTGCTCTTTTTTTGAGTGAACATTTTCAACTCATTTAGTAAATCAGCCTCACTCCCTTTATTTCTTTTCTAGTTAAAACTGGAAAATAACACCTAATTGCTATTTATATGGAAAGAATAAAACTAAGAATGATGATGTGTTATTATCTAATTAGTGAAAAGAAAATTACATAGAATTAATTTAATTCCTCTAAAGATAAAACTGTTAATGTAAGTTACCTTTTAAAAATGATTTCTACCAATGTTTTTAGTTTATGAACTATCTTGAATAAAAGGGCTTAATAAAATCAGTTGTCAGCAACATAATTTTAGTGAATACCAACTGCTTATGTTATCTGTCTGAAAACTAGGAGGGGGATCTACTCATGGGGGCATTTTCATATGTATTAACATCAAACTTTCAAATCACATGCAGGGGAATAAAAAAAACATTAAAAAACAGGAGCTTATCCTGTACAAGACTGGATGCTTGATGGAAATATTAATTAAATTTACCAACAATTAAATTTACACCTCAGTAAACCATCCCTTAGCTTAGCTTACCCAGAAGTGAATGAGCAGGTTGAATCATCCATCATCTTCTTTCATATCATCAAGTGTTACGTCACAAAGACCTGCCACAGAATTCCCAGCTCCATACCATTTTTGTGGGCAATATGCAATAATGCAATTTCTCCATGTCTCCTTCACAGTTCCAGAGATATTCAGTATGATCCCAGTTTTAATCAGAAGCGCATGTAAGAAAGGTTACTAAATAGTGTAACATTGCCTTTACTTGCCTCAGCAAATGAATACAATCAAACTTACACTTTAAAAGGGCATCACAGTACTTTTGGTACGAGCAAAATTCAAATATAAATGGTATCTCAAAATCTTACTGTCACGGTTAGTATCCAAGATGGCGAGCAAAAAAAAGTTTAGCGAAAGACCAATAAAAAAAGGAGGTACCAAAGGCGATCGCCTTTGGTACTTTATTTAGGGGTCTTTCCCTAAACCGTTTTGCTCTCTAGTTTCTTTGAGGTATTCTGATCCATGCCTAACCTGGTGAGTTAGTGGTCTATATTTAATTGATTGCCCTATTTTATTGTGTTGTCGTTATAGCAACACATGATTTAGTATGTAATGTATCCAAGATGGCGCCTACTGATATAACAAATCCCTAGCAGACATCAGAGATCCAACAGCAAACAGGAAATGATGCACGGCTTGGCTTGTAGTGATAGATCATGCCTCCAACGACATATTGGAGAGGATGGAGGAAGCTTTGTCACTTACCTAGAGGAAATTATGTAGACCAGTGATCCAAAGAGTAGTTTTGTAATTAGATTTTCCTTTCATCATGTTAAAAAAAATTTCCTTTGGTTCTACTTTAACTTATGCTTGCAGTGCAGTGTAAAAACTCCTGCTTGCAGCATCTTTGACGAATGTGTGGTGAGTTAAAAAAAAAAACGCCCCAAAAATGCCTCTTCCCATTGAAATAAATGGAAAATGCCTGAAAAACGCCTGAAAAGTGCCTCAAAAATACCTCTGGGAAGCATTTTTGGTGCAGTTTTTAAGTCATGTGTCCTTTAAAAATGCTCAGAAAGCATGGCAAAAGCGCAGTAAAACCACCTATGTGGTTTTGCTGTGTTTTTGTGGCGGATCAGTGTGAAAGTAGCCTTATACTTCATATACACTTTAAGACCATTAGTCTTATAGTAACTGCAGCTGACACTTGTTCTTTGCAAGCAAATGATGGCATACATCCCAGGAATCTTCAAGACAGGAGCAGGGGTTTCTCAGCTAAGCACACCCTCCTGTCTGTATGCCTGAGCTAAGGGCAGATAGATTCCAGAAAGTAAATACTACATGAATCATCTGCTCTTATTCAAGATGGCTGTGATCAGAAATGCTAGGGGTGTTTTTCAAAGTGATTTCTCAGCAATATAAAGCATGCTGACATGGATGGAATGGTGAGTTTGCTTTAACCGCTTGCCTACAGGGCACTTATACCCCCTTCCTGCCCAGGACAATTTCCACCTTTCAGTGCTGTTGCACTTTCAATGACAAATGCGCGGTCATGCAACACTGTACCCATATGAAATTTTTATATTTTTTTTTAGACAGATAGAGCTTTCTTTTAGAGGTATTTAATCACCTCTGGGTTTTTTATAAAATTTTGTAAGTAAGTGATTTTTCTCCTTCACTGATGTGCGCTAATGAGGCTGCAGTGATGGGCACTGAGAGGCTGCACTGATGGGCACTGATAGGTGGCACTGATATGTGGCACTGATGGGCATTGACAGGCATCACTGATGGGCACTGAAAGGCAGCACTCATATATGGCACTGATAGGTGGCACTGACTGGCACTGATAGGCAGCACTGACTGGCACTATTAAGTGGCACTGATAGGCAGCACTGACGGGCACTATTAAGTGGCACTGATAGGCAGCACTGATGCGCACTGATAGGCGGCACTGACTGGCACTGATTGGCAGCACTGATAGGTGGCACTGATAGGTGACACTGAAAGGCAGCTCAGATGGGCACTAATATGTGGCATTGATGTGCACTGGTAGGCACTGATATGTGGCATTGATGAGGCACTGATGGGCACTGGCAGGTGGCATTGATGAGCACTGGCAGCTGGCATTCATGGACACTGACAGGTGGCACCACAGGGGCTACACTGATCATCAGTACCCTGATGATCAGTGTACATGTCCCCTCCAAGGAATGCTGATTACTGGCTCTCCTCTCCTCACGAGCTGTCAGCGTAACAGCTCGCGAGGAGAGAAATGACAATAATCAGCATTTCCCTATTTACATGTGATCAGCTGTGATTGGACACAGCTGATCACATGACATGGCTCTTTCCGTTGATCCACTGTGTCCGAAGGACAAGGCGCACCACTGATCGCCACGCTGCGCGCTTCCGGATCTGTGCATGTGTGGTTAGAGTGGAAGGACGTCATGTGACATCCTCCCAGAACGAGAGAACCGCCTTGCGCCCGTCATTTCCTTATTTGGTGGGCGGGAAGCGGTTTAAATATTAAAAATTAATTAAATAGCGTTTTCTGTTTGTGGTGTCCAGATGCAGCATAGTTCCACTTTAATGATAAAAGGTAGAGTTTCTTGGTAAATGATAGCATTGCTGTATAGTATGACATGTCAAGAATATATGAATTTGAATTTTTAAAGGTTTTGGTAGTGCAAGAAGCATTAGTCACTGATCTTTTTTTGTAATTCTGAATGGTAGAAATGACTGTATCGTGTATGCTATATTGTTTCTTAAGGGATAACTAAATCCAAGAACAACAATGCAATATATTGTAGCTTATAGCCCTTACAAGTGGTAGCTGCATTTGTTTCCCTTGTTTTTTCAAGATAATAACCTTTTCAGCAAATACAAAAAATGCCTGCTGATCTTGCCAGAACTGCATGTCACTTCCTGTGAGCTGCAGCAAAGAATATCCTTCTTCCTAGCTATCTATTTTAAACTACCAATTCCCCCATGTAATGGAGATAAAGAGATATGGACATGTTTGCAGTTTATAACTGGACAGCAGCCTAGGGTGAAAACCGTGGCCCCTCCATAGATATGGTGAAGGAGTGATGTAGCCACCCAGGGACAAGAAGTGTGCTATTTCCAGGATTACCCGTTGAAAATAAAGCAAAGAACGCTTGAAAAATAATAAAAATGAATGCAACCACCACACCAAGGACTAGTAAGCTCAAATATATTACATATTTTGGTTTTGTGTGTTTAGGTATATTTTAAGTGAGGGTAACAGAATTCTTTTGCCAACACATACATTCTATTTTTCCCACCATGAAGAACCATACAATAATTGTGCATTCTTGTCACAACTGTGAATTCTGCAGAATAAAAAAACCTGAAACAGACCGATCATCTCACAAAATGTTTCCATTCACATGGTTTCCACTTGCACAAACACTTGCGTACAAAAAAATACCGATGTAAGAGGCACCTACCATTATAAGAGTCAAAACATATTATTAAAAGTGAATACTGAGATAATGACAGATGGTTTACATAAACTTCAGACAAGACATATTTCAAATACAAAAGCATTGCCATGTATCTACAAATAGATATAAAAAGTAACTGTACAAACATAGTGGTTCATATACAAATGGTTACACAATAATTAAGTTCTGATGCTGAGTAAAAGCATTCATGTCACCATACACATTCCTTATTAAACACACCTAAAAGAAACAATGTTCCCCTTTATTAGCGGGCCCTGTGTTTCAAGTCTGTCCAGCAGAAAGGAGGTATCCAGATGTCATCACCACATCTGTGTCCGTAATAATACTTGTAGAAGGATAACGTGGCAAGGACTAGGAATCCCATAGCTTGGCAGCTTCTTGGTAGTGTTTTTTTTTTACTTCCCGTACAAAAAGAATACACAGTTTTCATAAATTATATTTCACTAAAAACACATTCATTCAAAGTCCACATGCTTTCTCCACAAAGCTAGTGTTCACACTTCATAGTACCCAGATGTCAGTATATTCCAACAGTTAGAGGATGGCTGGTCTGAGCAGCATCTAGACTGCATTCATTCCAATACATTCCATAAGTGCAGCTGCTTGGTGAAAGTGATGGTTGTAAATATACACTGACTTCAGCTTGTTTTGGGCCTTAAAATCCATTCTGCATGAGGATTTACATGATATACATCCAGCATATAAGTATCTGGGTCCAAGCAATGTTCTCCTGCAATGACAAATAATAGATGATAGAATCAGTAAAAGAAAAAAATCATATTTACTTAATATTTATAACAATCTTGATGCATAATGATAAATTCTAATAAATGGAAACAAATCTTAATGTGCTATTTTAAACATTTGTTTTGACAGAATGAGAATTGGTTCGTTCCTCAGTCACATGTTAAAGTTGAACACAAGGTAGAACTTAAAGACACAAATTAATGTAGCTCTGTAATCATTAAAATGGTTCGAAAGCATCTACATTTTTTTTACCTTAATGCACTCCCTGAATTAAGGTAAAAGATGTACCAGTGTTTATATTGCCCTCTCTTCCCCCCCCCGGTATACTTACCTGAGTCCTCAGGGGCTAGCTCCTCTCTCTCTCTCTCTGCTCTCTGATGCATTAGTGGGAGCCATTGGCTCCTGCTGCTGTCAATCAAATTCCATGAGCAGGTTTGTGGGGGTGGGTCTGAGCCATGCTGTGTGTGTCAATAGACACACACATACCGTCTTGGGATTGAGCTTGCACATCTGCCCCCATAGTAGGCGGTCTGGGGGAACACACTTTGGGAGTTATGGGGGGACACAGAGAAGAGGAGTAGACAGTGCTGGAGGAGGACCCCAGAAGAGGAAGTAAGTATAACATGCTGGTTATTTTAATAAAACAAATTACCTTTATGAACACTTTAATACATATTTGAATGTATTTTGCACATACAGGTGCTGAATTGACCTGGTATCAACCTCTTGCCATTCCTGTATAGCAGAGCTGGAATGTGAGAGGAAGAAGCAACACAAGGAGCCAATCAGTTCATTTGCTGACAAGATAAATGTTGATAGGAGGAGAAAACAGTGAAAGAGAGATGAGCTCAACCCTATGCTGCTTCTCCTTTCACACAGGCTGGGGTAGATGAAGAAGTAAATGGGTATAATGATGCTGCCAATCAGACTGAGGACATGTGGTTTTATTTTCTATTTTAATGGATTCTGCTTTAGTTGATGATCTGTGTTTCCACTGGAGAAACATCTACTCACTTCCTGTCCCAGTGATATTGCAGTGACCTCAGTGTTCTGGTTTCCTTCTATGGAGAGCATGCTGTATGTATTTCTGAGGAAAATCAACTACTGACTCATAATTACTGTCACTAGTTAATTGCTTAAAACATTAAAGGAATATAATACAAATGCACTTTAGCAATGCCCTTGGAGCTACCAGGGCAGGGAATTAGGCAAAATCTCTCCAATGGATGCCACAAGGTTCTAGTGCACTTATACTACAGTACTCTCAATCTAAAAAGTAATCCTTGAGTTCAGTTCTTGAGATGCTAATTGTTATTATAATTATGTAAAATCTTTTTTTTTTTATTAATATAGAGCAAATAGAAGCACTAATGGCAGATAAGAGCTAGTTAAAAGAGATGGGAAACCATTACTTCAGTGTTTGCCTAAAGCCAGCCATACATGGATCGAAATTCACCTGGTTCAGCAGTGATGGGCACCCTGGTTGTACTCAAGTCGATATGTCAGTCGACTTGTGTACAACAAGCTTTTGGGTTTTTTTTTTCTGAATGATTAGTGCTGCCAGCTATAATATGCAACACTAATCGTGTTCTGCTGGCAAGAAAGGCTCCTCTTAGACCAGCGGTGTCAAGCTGGTGGGCCTCCAGCTGTTGTGAAACTACAAGTCCCATCATGCCTCTGCTTCTGGGAGTCATGCTCATAACTGTCAATCTTGTAATGCCTCATGGGACTTGTAGTTTGGCAACAGCTGGAGGGCCACCATTTTGACACCTGTGCCTAAGACACAACACAGTGGGAGAGAATCAACCCATGGTGAAAAGAAAGAAATCTCCATAATCTATAGCCTGCCTAATAGTGAACTGAAAATCTTGGCAATACCTGTGCAGATATTTGTTGGCTTCTAATCATACTAACATAATTTAGTACACCATTTTCAATCCTAACGAGTATGTTAAAACGTAGATATGCCCTATTACCAAACTGTCCAAAATAATATCTGTTAGTGTTGCACAACAACAACCAATCATTCATCTTTCAGGGTTCAACTAACATTTTCCTCTGCAGGTTAAAATTTTTTAGATGTGGTGGGATGACATAAACAGCTCCTCCTTCAGACACTTAAAGGGGCCATAATGGCAGGAAATCTAATACTGTACTTCTTGTCTCTAATTAACTGTACAGCTAAGAGATTAGGTCTGAATATAACACAAAACATTATTGGGGAGGGGCTTGATGACATCACAACGCTTGGGACACGAGATAGTGTGGTAACTATACATGGTTGAAAGTTGAATATATCAATCAATGTGTATATTGAAACCTGTGTGGAATAGTGTGGTGCGCTGAGGCACCTTTCAAATGTGAGTGCATAACTAGCAGTTGGTTATATGGATTAAAAGGATAAAGCACTATGGGGTTGATTTACTAAAGGCAATTAGACTGTGCACTTTGCAAGTGCAGTTGCTCCAGAGCTTAGTAAATGAGCAGAAGCTCTGCTGACTTGCATCATCCAATCATGTGCAAGCAAAAGTGCATTTTTTTTTTTTTCCTTGCATGTGATTGGGTATTCTTGGCAAAGGGAAGCTTTACCTCATTTACTAAGCTCTGGAGCAACTGCACTTGCAGAGTGAAATTGCACTTTGCAAAGTGCACAGTCTAATTGCCTTTAGTAAACCAACCCTTATGTTTGGTGGTTTCTCTGTATACGGCTGAGGAGGATTACGGAGTGGAGTAGGAGAAATATAGGAGTGTATATAAAAAAATTTAAGGGGACAACATGAACTCATCTGCTTTGGAATGCCATTATGAACCCTATATGAGGGACACAAGCGATATATGACCTTGCTTAACAGTTTGTTCATATATTCCAGGTGAGAGTACATCCAGAGGAGGGTATTTACATCACATATAGCAATTTTGGGCACGAAGAGGTGATGGAATAATAAGAGAAGTGACACCAGTTTAATACCAATATTAAGAAGTGCACATTTATTGGATATTGGATGATGCACATTTACTGTAGGACTGAAATTTGACTTAGTCACTAATATTTTGCATTTTCTTGCATATTTTGTTCACACTTCATGTAAAATTTGTTATTGAGTGAAAAGTAGAACTTTTGGAGAAAATATTGTGTCACATAACACATTAGATGCGAGAGTGTGAATAGTGTGGGTGATCCACTT